AGATTGCGTCATTGTTGATTGTACGTTTTCTTAATTCACGATGCTTACTAATTCGCTTTTCTGTAGAACCAGTTCCTGTCAGTCTTCAATAAATCATCTACTGCCCCACGTCTGTCTGCTCCTATTGACTACTGGCTACGAACTGCGTATAATCCAATAGTCGCAATCGTCCTGTGAGATCCTTAGCCGTCCGCATCTTACAGTGTCTCTTAACTTCTTACCCAAACAATGACGTGAAAGTATTATCAGAAGACATTTCTACCCTTTCTCTGTCTGTTTTTTCCCGAAATTCGTCACAAGTTTTTAGAACGTTGATATCCGCTCCTGGTCAAAAGCATGACTTTATTGTTGATACTGGTAGTGTTGAGTCCATCATTCCACAATCAGATCTAAGTGCATTCTACCCCAGTGCCGTGATAGTCCCCACAGACGTTAATATTCGCGGTTTCACTGGACATTCTGTACCTTTAGTTGGTAGTTGCACGGTCCCTGCGCGGTTACCCTAAGGTACCTCTATCGGTTGTAATTTCTTGGTTTCAACGTCGGGACCGTCGATTATTGGACCCAAAGTTTTACGCTTACTGCAAACCCGTATAACCTTACTGACTTCTGTGAATGAGGATGAACTCAACCAACTGATTCTGAAATGTTCTAAGGCTACAGGTGGCATGCAAATCCCCAAGGTGATGCTCGAAGTTACAGGAGACCCTATATTTCTTAAGAGACGGATTATTCCATTTGGCTTACCCGATCCTGTTCGTCAAGCATTAAATTCAATGTGTGCGAAAGGAATACTGACTCCTGTCGAATCCTCAAATTGAGCAACTCTGATAGTTACCTCAGTGAAGGCTGATGGTATTCCTCCGAGAATTTGTGGTGACTACCGGCTTACGCCAAATACGTAAGCCAAATCGTACATGCACCACTGAAGAGCCAGAAGATGTACTATATCGTTTATCAGGTTCAAGTGTGTTTTCAAAAATCGATCTAAAAGATGCTTATCTTCAAATACCACTGGAAGAAGCCTCTAGTAACCTTACCGTGATCAGCACATCCTTTTGGGTTTTTCCGGCACAATTTCCTTTCCTTTGGTCTGAACGTTTCACCAGCTTTATTTCGGCAAGTTATGAATACTATTGCAAAAGATTTGGAGGGTGCTGGGACGTACAAAGATGACGTCATTGTGCACGCTGCTGACAAAGCTACCCATGATATGTGTCTGTTGTCTTTACTGAAGCGATTTTCTGAGTTCAATGGAGAGATTCATCCTGATAAATACACTTTTGATGTCCCATCATTTTCATGCCTTGGCTACATTGTGGATGGTAGCGGTGCTGAACCTGATAGAAAATGTCTATTCCCTTTAGTAAACGCGCCATCACCAACCAATCTACAACTGCGTCCAGTTCTAGGAGCACTCCAGTTTTCCTCAATCAATAATCAATCAGTAATCAATTTTCTTGGCCCTCCAACTATGAGAAGACGTTGCGTGCACTGCTCGGTTATCTTCAAATTCAACTCTTTTGAATCCGTTTTCCGCCAAACATCATTCGACGATCATCACTGATGCTTCTCACACCGGAATAGGGGA